TGGATCTTTTTGGTGACCAATTCCCAGGCAGGAGCCCATCAAGAGTCATCTCTTTGTGACAAAAGATACCTAGCATCCAGAATATCTGAAAGAGTAAGGAGCTCTAGGTCAGCAACCAAAGTGAACAGAGTAATAGTCCAAAAACTATGCTCCCTTGTCCTGACATCCTTATCCCTTAGTATATTACCATGGTTTTAGGAATACTACATCAGGCAAGATCTGGAAGTAGAAGTATTCATGCATGTATGCATGATATGTACCTATGTAGCATGCATGTATGTACATATGTATGTATCTTCTCAACATTATTTCACAGTATCACAATAGTCTAAAGAAAACCCCATGTGATTTTCAAATACAACTGGGCTAAACAATTAGTAAATACCTAAATATAATTCATTACTATATCTGAAAAAATTTCAAAATCATTCATTTATTACATCCAGGTCTACCAAACTACTGTGGGGAAGAAAAGACAACCTTGTACTAAGAATTAAAAGACCAGCACTCTAGGACTAGCTCTGTTAAAACACTGAGCCATCAGTGCTCCCTTGTCTTTTAAGACAAAAGGATTTCAGTGCAACACCTTATATAGCTCCTCCGAAGCATCTAAGCTGTACTTGTACTAATAAATGGTGTCCAGTGGGTGGGGTTAAGATAGACACCAATCCAAGGACATCACACTGTCATAAATTTTCTGTTCACCTTAGAGGTAGGTTTTGATATATCTAACCCTTTGTTTCATTGCCAAGACATACTTTAAAGCCAGTGTCATAAGACAGGCATTTAGAAATAAACCAACAGCAATGTTAGGTGGAACCAAACTTGGCTGCCATTGTCATCGTAAAGAACCACTATACAACGACTCAAGCGAAAAACGAAACCCTTCAGCTTGCTTCTTCCATCTGAGACCTCTTGAACAGTGGTCTTTCCCTCACTGGGCAAAACTTTACATCTGTAAAGTAAGAGTTCAACATCATGATCTTGGGAGGGTCACAAAAGCTCTGAGACTACAGTCGTCTTAGGTCTACAGTGCTGCCCACCCCACACATGAACATCTCAAGCTTGCTGCTCTCAAACTGCTCACTGATGTAGGCATCTTTAAATTCTTAGAAGTCAACTCCACTTAAGTAGTTTAATTACATAACCATGTAGTCTCGTATATGTACATTTACACATCTCAGGAAAACTTTGCTAAAGGTGTTGTCCCTAAATTCACGGTAGCCAAAGACACTGTCACCATCCTCCTCAAATCTCTTCTCCTTACTGAGATCCTGGGCAGAACAAGAGCCACCACATACTAAGTATATTTGAAGTTTTCCCATGTCATTCCACTTTCCAATTTCCTTGCTCTATATTGCTATTAGAATAACTCATTTTTTAACAAAGCATTCACTTTCAACATTCCTAGACTTTCTCATTCCTGGTACCATGAATGCCATGGCTTTTCTATAACACATGTAGCCATGTGAACACAAATGCCTTCTGCTCTATATAGTCTTCTCTGGCACTGGAAGCTATAAAGTACAATCTTGATTATTTCTGTGTATATCTAAACCATTTTAACACATGATGAACCACATGATAACAGAAATAGCACACTGAGGCATTAAGTTCTGTCACTCTTAATTATTAATGATCTTATCTCTTATATACAATTAGTAGTTTTTCTAGAGTAATATCATGTTGACAGCAACCTTTATAACCCCAATTTCTAAGTCATAGTAGGCTATCAATACATATTCAGTGAAGGAATAGACTATAAAACATGGAGTAAGGATATACTGCCCCAATAAACATATTAATAAGTAAGTGAACAGAACCAAAGTTGGGGAATCTGGAGGTGGGATATAATTTCCTTGGAAAAAGAAGGAAAATGCCTTCAGAAAGGTCTACTTTCGGGAGTTCACACATTTATCAGCGTTGTTGTATGAACAGAGTTCTCTGGGAACTCTCATTGTACAAACATCCACATGGACACCAGCTTCCCCCAGATCTCTGAGTCAAAGTAGCCTTTGAAAAGTGATTTGAAGACAGATTTGGAAAAACATACAACACAGGCTTGACTAATGAGAAATCCTAGACCTACTGGCCTACTTTAGGGAGTCAGGTGGCTCACTGGGTTTCGGTTTGAAATTTGCCTTGACTCAAAAGTAGAAACAACAAAGTTGGACATTAACAGTCTCCATTTCTAGGATTTTTATGTACATTTTAATTACAACACAACATAGTCTGCTGTGGACACCATCTTCTCTTGGCACATATTTTTAATATTTTAAGTGTGTGATTATTACTCTCATGGCATATAATTACGTTAACCAATAAATACTAACACATCTAATTCAGCTGCACAGAATGAAATAGTTCAGAAGGATGAGCTGTTCTCCTAATGAACTCTTGCTCTCCTAAGGTAGAATAATTGATCAGAATACAATGGATCATCTTTTAATTTTTGAATGGAAACACATCCTTGAAAGTACATTTTATACTAATTGTGGATTTATTCTATTTAAAGGCATCACAATTATCTTTAAATCTCTTGAACATTTTCTTTCTTATGGGAAGAAATGTTAATATTCAAGAAATGCTGTTACTCATACGAGTGATTTCATACCTTTCGTCAATGATGAAGTTTTTGAAAAAACAGAACCTGACACATTCAATCTAGTTCTAGAAATTAAAGTCAGGCACAAGCTTATTCAAGGTTCAGTTGTGCTCACACAGTAGCTTTATGGTCAAAGACAAGTCACTTACCTGCTAAGCCTTTGTTTTCCACCCATGAAATAAGAAATAAATTTGTCATCTATACCTCAAGGATGAGAAAACTAAACCTTAGGAGCGAATATATGTGAAAGTGCTTCACCATCAGTAAACTGCTGTCTAAAAACCAGTGATTATGAGTTTGTGTGCACAGTAGATTACGCAAACAATAACAGAACTGCTGAATAAACCCATTAACGTGTAGTGGTTTTGGGGAGGCATGTGTAGACATAACCTTCAAGAATGAAGGCTGTATTAAGTTAAAACCTCACCGCCTGATCTTCTCCACATATATTAGGTTATACAGCATTACAAGAAGGAAAGCAAGATTAAACACAAACCCTGCTTTAGAAAACACAGCAGTGCACAAAAGCAAAATTTGGAGCAAAATTTGGCTGAGTCTAGAGGCAGTCAGTGGCCCTGCTGTCCAAAGGTTTTGGCTTGTGCAGAATTCGAAGACCACTGAACATTAAATAAGAACGCATGGCTCACTTGACAGAGCTGAATGCATTCCCTTGCCTCATTCCAGAGCTGGCCTTGCTTCCTAAATTCCTTGTTCAGAATCAATTTTTAGCTCTTCCTACCTGCAGATCTTCAAGTACTCCGATTATGTGCAAATAGCAGGCATACGAATTTATCTGCCAGCTATCAGTAGGAACCATCCAGTCTTTAGTCCACTTCCAGCCTTCACAGGTGCAGTCCAAGGTGCATGCACGCAATCTAAATGTAGTCTGGGTCATCCTGCACCAGGTCTAAAATTATTCTCCTCCCTTCTCTAACATAAAATGCCATGCACCTTCTGGCCAAGCATGTAAGGCTTCTGACCAGGCCTTTCAGATAATATCGCATTCACAAAAGTGTTTTACTCTCTTTTTTAATCATGCAGTCACAGTTTAACTGGTATAATATTAGAGACTATTGAATGACGGTGACTGAGTCTTCTAGGACTCCCCTTTCGATCTTCTACTTTCTTGTTCCATCTTTTCCCCCACAGAGCATGCAGCTACGTTCATCATCACAGGAACGAATCACATTCTTACCACTAACAGGACTGCTCAAGAAAGGGCAGCGGCAGGTAAGGAAGAGCTCATCTCTAGTATGCTTTGCCTTGTACCCTTACACAGCTTCCAATCCCATGATCTGAGCAGAAAGGGTAATAAGAAAGCACTGCAAACTTAAGTGTAGTTAATGCTCAAATGATGGGCAGCTGAGAAGCAATACTGCTTTTTTTTTTTTTTAATTCATAAAAGGCATCATTCACTGTCAATACACCCATTGCTACAAAAGAATTGGAGTAAAATCCAGAGTAGCATATGTACTGACACTTAGTCGAGCAACTATTGCACGGGTCAAAAAACACAGCGGTAAAAGTACTTATCCAGTTGTTTTGTATCTAAAATTCTGCTAGCTGTTTTCTGAGGATATATGAGCTCTGAATAGATTTTCTATGACTCTCTTAAGGCCTCAGAGAGGCAGGGAATGATCACCAATAGTGGAATATCAACTTCCAAAATGCAGGTAATAAACTAAGATGTAGACAAACAACCGAGCTCCAAAGTAAGCAAAAAACTGCAAAGAAAAGCTGTTAACAGGCACTATTTGCACTTAAAAACACAGAATAATTGCTGTCACATAATTCTGATGAATCTGAGGAGAAACTGATATATTCAAACTGCTGACGCCAGTGTAAACTATGCAAACCTTCAGAAAGAAAAGTAAAGAAAGCAGTCATTCTCCTCAATGTCAGGATCCCACTGGTAAAAGTCTGAGGGTAGCGACCAGCTCCAAGGAAAACAAACATGAATGAGGCTGTTGTAGCATTACTTACGACAACATCAACAACAAAAAATGGGAACCACCTCAACACCCAACACAAGGGGTATTCTTTACATAAGACCTTGACCTTAGGATCCTTCACCATACCTTTAGTTACCTACTTTATCCTTAGTTACTTTAAGTCGTATTTGTGGAATTCAACATTACATAACCAAATATTTAAGAGACAAAGGTAGAAAAAGAGTATGGCAATGGAATGAGAGAATTATTTCGAATAAGATTTTTGTATTACATTCTCCTTTCAAAACAAATCATTAGCAAAACCAAGTTAAAATGTTTCTGCCAGTTAACCGGCACATGTTGTTATCACATAAAAAGATGATTTCAATCTGGATCAAAGGAGGATAGAAAAGGTACAGGGTCCATGGCTGGTCACATGGAGAGCTACTTTGGACTGCACTAACCTGCAGAGTCCGAGGTTTGTACGGAGAAGTGGACTCAAGGTCTGCTAAAATGCTGGTCAAGGAGTCAATTTCAGCATCCAGACTTGAGCGTCTCTCCTCAAGGGTCTTTCCTCCGGGATTCGCCTGTCAGAGATGGCACACACACATTAAAAACAAATAACACTTCATTGAAAGAACTGTGAATTCAAATTCTTACATTACACGTTGGCTTTCTAAGTTCTTCTGCATAAAGTTTTTTTATAAAAGTTTTAATTAACTCTTCTTGGGTAGACTGAGGCAGACTTACCACTTTCAGACAAGTAAGAAAGCTGAATATGAGGGGCTCAAGTTAAGGTCAAACATATAGTCAGATACTTCTTGGATGAAGACACAAGTGAGAGAAAATAAACCCAACCCTGCACTTGAGAGGCATAACCAACTGAGGAGATCTCGCAGGATCGCTGCATACAGGAACCACTGGATACAGTGATGATACCTTCTTGGAGCAGCTTTAGAAAAGAGGGCAATGGATAGTCCAGAAAGAAAAGTCAGCTGTGACTATTATAGTGTGAGCAAAACCCCAGCAAGTTACCCAAAGCCCGAAATAGAAAAAGATCAGAGTTCTGGCCATGGAGACAGGGAGAGAACGTGCACAGTAAGCAAGAGTGATGAAACTGGGGGTCTGTGGAGCTCGTAAATACCTGAACTGTGAGTCAATGATAGGAAATCAGAGGACCAGGAGAATACCACAGTGCATTTCCAGAAACTGGGTAGAGTCTGGGAAAAACAAGCAAACAATTTTCCTAAAGTTCGAAGGAAGGAGATACAAAGTGAAGTACATCAGGATTGCAAACAGAGTGTAGTAAAAATAATCTTTTAAGCTGACAATGCAGTGATGCTCATCTATGTAGGATAGAAGAGTCTCTTAAGATTCCATCAAGAAACCAAAGTGTATTTTAAGCAAGCCAGAACTGGACTGAAATAATGGGTATTTACTGTAATCTTATTAAGTCAATTGGGCTTGTCAAAGACGGACAAATATTAGGAGACTGTCTAATTAATCTGCAAGAGCTTAGAAAAGGCATTAGCCAAGAAAGTGGGATATCTTTAGTAACAACAAAAATAGGTTACCCTGAAAGACTAACATTAAATCTTACAACACAAGGCAAACATGTCCTTACTGATTGCATGACATCAGACGTCATATTAAGACCACTAGTTCCTCTGTTCCTAAGGCCTTGCTCACTGAGACAGCTTCTGAGAGCTGAAGCATGCAAGTGAAAGCCCCTTAATAGGAATGACTCAATTTACCCAGTCTCTGGGGACTTCAGCCAGCATGAGTTAATCCCTCCTTGATGTGATTTATTCCAGGCACACTGGTAGAATCAGGCATCTCTGAAGCTGCAGCCAACTCCTGAAGCCAAACCTAGATTGCCATCTTCCTCCTCAGTCATTTGGTAACCCTGTTTGTGAGCCACCTTTCAACATGGGGACCTTGAGCACATCATCCCCAAAGTATCTCACTCATGATTCTCTCATTTGGTTATAAGTTCTCTATGTCCTCCTATCATTTCACCCTATTTTAATTTACTTTTCTAGTAATATCTATCACTACCCACCATCTAAAAACTATGTTTTTATGTGCATTTGTCCATTTCTGGTCAGCCTCTCCCCTAGGATAATGTAGATTTTATGAGAGTGAACATTGTATTTTATTCTTCAGCATTTTTCCAGAATTTTGCTTGGGGCCTGACATATGTAAAGGTATCAGAAAGTATTTTTGAGTCAATATATTAATAATGACTTTGACATATGTTAAGCCAGTGAGCATTTTCTCATCAATGCCTTTTGGGTAAAAGCAATTGTAGGTACAAGCGGCAGCCATGGCTGCTCCAGCTGACATAAAAGGCAGTCATGCACACATACATGTGTGTGCAGATGCGTGCATCAAGCCAGATGGCCCAGATTTCAAGGAAAAACTTGTGGAATTGTGTGTTTTTCCTTACCTTCTTTGCTCTAGTCAAAAAACATATACGCATGTACAATGAATTGGTTGTGTTTTTCTCAGACTCTGAACTCTCCTGTCTTGCTCACCATTTAAGGCCAGTGGAGCACTGGCTGAGAAAGGTGTCACTGCTTCTATCTTAGAACACTGCATCTTTAGCCCAAAAGAGCACTAAGAAATGGGAAAGAGGATGGTGTAACTCAGTGGCTGGGATTAGCTCACTGGAGGGCTTGTCTAGTATTTGGGAGGCATCAATTCCCCATATCTCAAAAATGATGGATGGAAGGAAGGAAGGAAGGAAAGAAGGAAGGAAGGAAGGAAGGAAGGAAGGAAGGAAGGAAGGAAGGAAAGAAGGAAGGAAGGAAGAAAGGAAGGAAGGAAGGAAGGAAAGAAGGAAGGAAAGAAGGAAGGAAGGAAGGAAGGAAAGAAGGAAGGAAAGAAGGAAGGAAGGAAGGAAGGAAGGAAGGAAGGAAGGAAGGAAGGAAGGAAAGAAGGAAGGAAGGAAGGAAAGAAGGAAGGAAAGAAGGAAGGAAAGAAGGAAGGAAGGAAGGAAGGAAGGAAGGAAAGAAGGAAGGAAGGAAGGAAGGAAGGAAGGAAGGAAGGAAAGAAGGAAGGAAGGAAGGAAAGAAGGAAGGAAGGAAGGAAAGAAGGAAGGAAGGAAGGAAGGAAGGAAGGAAGGAAGGAAAGAAGGAAGGAAGGAAGGAAGGAAGGAAGGAAAGAAGGAAGGAAGGAAGGAAGGAAGGAAAGAAGGAAGGAAGGAAAGAAGGAAGGAAGAAAGGAAGGAAGGAAGGAAGGAAGGAAGGAAGGAAAAGCTAAGGCAAGGCATGGCAAGGCATGTGGGTGATGTCCTGGGTTTGATTCCTACTTCCAAAAAAAAATAATAATAGAAAAACAAACAAACAACTATGAAATACTGTAAAATTATTCAAAATAAAGATCTTTTTAACAAATAAACTGCGTATAACCATTCTGGGTAGTGGTTCTTAGCATCATAAGAATGCTATTGTTATGGAAGGCAGTAGAGAACCAGGTGACCTTGACTTTCTTTTGTGAAGACAAAAAATATCATAAACATGAATTCCATAAGTATATTTACATAAACTCAGAGGTCAGCCCAAGAGTGAATTGGAGCCTTGTGAAATTCTTCCCTGGGCCATAGTTTATTCATCTGAAAAATGAAGAGAACTCCATTTGCCCTACCTAACCTAGAGAGATGCTACAAGATTTAGATAACAAAATGGATGGGAAAATACTTTGTAAATTGTACAGTGCTATAATTATGGTGATTTTCATAAATAGCATTAATTATAGCAATGAGTAACTATAAATTAATAGGAATAATATAGCTATTGTTAATTATTCTTCTTAAGAGAAGCTTCGTTCGTTAAGTGTTCCCTTGGGGTATCTGGAAAAAGACAGGATATAATCAGGTCTTCAACATCTGTGCTTTACTATAGCAGAAAGTCAACTGTCTATGCCCATGATATCTAACCACAGAGACTCAAAAGTCGCTGAATTACCCTGAGCTATACAATGAAACAAGTAATTAGGGAGTGCAACCAGCCCATGCTTGCAGGACTTCAACTGGCTTCCAGATCTCTATTCTCTCCTAAACTGGAATTGCTCTCCACTTTCAGTTTCTCAGATTAGCCTGATGTAATTTATTAACAGGTTTCAGACTAACACTGTGCGATTTCCATGAGCAACCACCCCCATGCCGCTCTACCTTATTATGATAGCTTTGTTCTACATTTTAATGACCCACTGTGAATAAGACTGGGACTCTTTCTCATTCTCAATTATCTCTTCTATGTCTTGGTTCAAATAAGTGAAGTCCTGCCCAAGTTTCCACACCTCCTCTTCTCTTGGTACCCTCCTCTCCTCTCATGGTGTCTTTAGGTATATGGAAAATCTTGTTATACTTAGTAATTTAAATTTAAGGCTAGAAACTAGTTCTATAACAAAATAGAATCCTACAGATTCACTAGAATGTCTTCTCCAATCCTATAGCTCCCCCAGTCCACCTGGTGGTTAGCACCCCACCAAAGGGCAAATCCAAGAGTCCCTGGCTAACTTGGCTTAGTGTATTTTCCTAAGCTATCACAAGAACTCTAATAAAATATTCACTGTTGCAGTAAGAATTTCCACACTCTGTAATCCTGGATTTTGACCAAAAAAAAGAATGCTTGCATATAGGTCATTTATTATAGGAATCAACTCTAAGAATTAGTACTGAGTTTACAGGGTAGATTAAATAAGATAGGTTATGCAAAGAAAGGAAAACCAGTCCTGAAGTTGGTTTGGTTTTATTACATGGAGAAGGTCACCAGTGTGGGTTTTGTTACATGGAGATGGTCACCAGTGTGGGCAAGTAAGTCACCAATGTCCTTGGTGCTCTCTGGGGAGCCCTGTAAAACATTACTTACATCTGCCCACTGACAAGATGGAAAAGTGGATTATTTATTATTCTTACTATGAGGAAGAAGAAGGTGATAATTATTCCTATTTTCAAGGTACAGCTCCCCCGTTGGTTTACATTTACTGCAGAATTTTCAAACCCCATTCTACCTGCCCCAGGAGGTGGGTCAGATAGGTCGGTGGAGGAAAAGGAAGTAAGTGAAAAGTGGAGCTACCAGGTCAGACATGTGCAGGGTGGTCACTGTGGGATGGTCAGTATGCATGAATGGGATGACACACAGTGAGGGCTGTGGCACAAAGGAGCCCAGTGGCTGTGTCCTCCACTAACAGTCACAAATTCCTCATGAATAAAACACTCAGAAGATATCATTTGCAAAAAAATAATATATTGATTTATTCCACAAATGTGTGTGTGTGTGTGTGTGTGTGTGTGTGTGTGTGTGTAACAAAGGATCACCTTATCACATCTGCAGATTACTATGACTTGGACATTCATAAATATCAGTGCTGGTAGCAGAATTGCAGTGATGGCTTCCCAGTCTAAAATAAGATATAAAATTAAAGCCCCAAATCAAAGAATTCAGTGTAAGGGTGAAATAAGGTCAGATTATTTCTAAGAGTCTGACTTTAGATGGGTCATATTTTAGCACAAACAGGGCTAACTCACCAACTCATGGGAGGAAACAAGGAATACCAGTAATGAGGTATGAAAGAGAATTGT